ACTAAAAATGAGATTCACACACTGGTCTATCAAACTGGCAAAGGTTTTAAAACGTCACACAGCGCTCATTGCCACCCAGATTGTGTAGAGTTGTAGACTCAGGTGGGAGAGACACAAAACAAATTGCTACCTTTCACAGGGAGAGTGTGACATTTGAGAGCTAAGGCACACATCTTGCTAGGCAGGTGTGAAGTCCCTGTGCTTGGGAAGCCTAGGTTTTAGAAAGTTCAGCTTGAGTCCGGACAGGGCTGTATAGTGAGTTTCAGGCCAGCCTGGGTTACACAGGGAGGCCCTGCCACAAGTACACACACACACACACACACACACACGCACACATGCATGCACACGCACACGCACATACACACACAAGCACACGCGCATGCACACAATTTCTTGATCAGAGAACTACTTTCTAAGGAAGGTAACGGAGGAACTGACCAAAGTTAAAGCGAAAAAGATGATCAAACTGAGCTCTGATTTGTAATGTAGAAAAAGTGTTCCTCAGCGGGGGACCAGCTGAAGTATATTATGGAATGATCATATGAAACCATATAAAGCAGTCCAAACCATTGCTGAAAATGTGTCTGAGGCAGAGACCTTGAGAATGCTACTTCCGGTCTTGATCCCAGCTCACCTTTCTGTTTAAATCACCTTTTTAATTCAATGCAGGCCCACCTGCATAGGAATGATAGTCTACAGTGGGCTTGGCCCTCCCCCCAGAGGGCGTGGCCCTGTAAGGAGGTGTGGCCTTGTTGGAGTAGGTTTGGTCTTATTGGAGGAAGTGTGTTACTGTGGAGGCTGGCTTTGAGGTCTCGTATATGCTCAAGCCACGCCCATTGAGACCACTTCCTGTTGTCTGTGAGTCAAGATGTAAGAGCTCTCAGGTCTTTCTCCAGCACCATATCTGAGGCATGCTGCCTTGCTTCCCGCGATAATGATAACGGGCTAAACCTCTGAACTGTAAGCAAGCCACCGCAATTAAATGCTTTCCTTTATAAGAGTTGCCCTGTTAGCCAGACAGTCGTGGCACACACCTTTAATCCCAACACTCAGGAGGCAGAGGGTGGGGATCTCTGTGAGTTCTAGGCCAGCCTGGTCTACAAAGTGAGTTCCAGGGTTTCAGGACAGCCAGAGCTGTAACACATAGAGAACCTGTCTTGAAAAACCAAAAATAAATAAATAAATGAGTTTTCATGATCATGATGTCTCTTCACAGCAATGGAAACCCTAAGACACGACATACACACTAATCAGCAATCAAGAAAATGCTACAATGATAGCCAGTCCCTCTGGCCAATCCGATGAAAGCATTTTATCAATTAAGTCCCGCCTTCCAGGTGACAGTAGCTTGTGTCAAGTTTACAAGTAAGTGTCTGTGCTGGACTCTGAATCTAGTCCTATAGTCGTCCCCCACCCCCCCCAAAAGAGTTTCTCTGTAGCTTTTGAGCCTGTCCTGAGCTGAAACTAGCTCTTGTAGACCAGGCTGGCCTCCAACGCACAGAGATCCACCTGCCTCTGCCTGCCGAGTGCTGGGATTAAAGGCTTGCGCCACCACTGCCTGGCTCCTAGTCCTATAGTTCAGCAATTTTTTTTTTTTTTTTACCATCAAGCTACTTCCTAGTCCTGTAATTCTTAATTCTATAAAAAGTAACCCATCAAATGAATATGAATGGCATTGAAAATAACTTATTTTTACATCAATGCAAACATGTCCTTTCAAAGTGTGGAGGCACTCAGTAAATACATTTAAGGGCAAAGGACTCATTGCTAAATGAAAATTCTTCGCCTGGCATGTATTGCTTAAAGAATTTTTTTTTAATCAAACGAATGTTTCTTTGAACTAATTTTTATGACCTTGAGGGAAAGAGAAACTGTATTGAACTGTAGAACAGTCAATAGCTGGACAGGCAGCAGAGTCTTTTCTTTAGCCTCGGCTCACACAGCCCCAGAGTGAAGACAAACAGTATAATTTGTACGCTGTCAGGAGATGGCATGATCTATTATTGCTGCCTTTCGGGGCGTGGGACTTAATCTCTGAGATGTCATCGTTATGTGGCTAATTAGCTGCACGGGGTGCGAGGAGACTTTGAGCATCTCAGCTTTGATGACAGTGAGCCCTTCCTTTCGTGAGAATTCCTTCGGCAGGACACATACGATGTTTTCAGCGCTCATCACATGACAGGCAATCAAAGAGCAGTGTAATACCTCCCACGCCCCCCTCCCCCCCAGAGATGAGTAGAGATGGAAGTGTCCAGAGTAAGGAACCAGAGAAAAGTTTTAACAGAGCTACCCCTCATTTCAGTTTGCTTTTCTTTCTCAATGTAAATGCTCGTGTTTTTTTTTTTTTTTTTTTTTTTTTTTTTTTTTTTTTTTTTTTTTTTTATCTCTGTAGGATTCTTTCCTCCCCGCATTCCACAAGCCCAGAGAAACTTGCTGGAACTCCTACAAACCCTCTCCTGCTACCATATTAGGAATGAAAATGCGGAGCAGACAGCCAGGACTGAGTCGAGATAATCAACAGGGAATGTCTATGCCTTCAAGCCAAATGAGTCCAGAAAAATGATCAAGGCAGCAAGAAAAACAGTAAAACTGAGCCTTGGCTTTAGCTTGTGGTCTTGTTAGGTAGCCCACTCTAAAATTACTCTGGAAGTTTCTATACCTCTTTGCCATTCAGGCATAAGAATTTAGGTATGACCAATTTTACTGTGGATTCAATTCACTCTGGGTTAAAAGTAGACCAAGACAAAATTATTTACCTTTGCTTTATTAAGAACATAAATGTTTCTGTGTGGTTACAGGCCTTATAAATCTACCTTGATACCAAACTAATTCTGTAATAAATAAACTTGAGACTTTTTTTTTTCAGTGCTAAGCATAGAACCCAGGCCTCATACCTCCTAAGCAAGCACTCTACCACTGAGCTATATTCTATTCTTCTGAACGTTTGAAAAGGTTGTGTGGTAACTGTCCAGCAGTTGGCACTTACCAGGAAACTTTCTGGTTACATTGTTTTTGCTACAAGTGAAATTGGGAAAGATTAATTACAGCTTCCCCTTTCATGTATGGCAGTTGATCTATCATAGACTTGGTGGGAAAGAAGTTTTTAATTAATACACGTGCCAAATCAATAGACGTTTGAACATAGCAACTCTGGACTCGGAGTAAGGCATAGAATGGGGGTTCTATAGTGAAGGCTGAGCAATTGTCCGGCAGATAAAGTGGACTATTGTGGAGCTAACTGCCCGCCTTATTAAGACTGTAATGATTACACCTGAGAATGCGATGCTGCCGTAGTGAGAAGTTTGACCTTGCAGCCCACATTCTGTAAGTTTTAAAGGAGGCAGAGGTGAGAAATGAGATCAGAGAGCGGAGGCTTCGTAAATCACGACAACGGACGACAGGGGTGCGGCTAAGTGCATAATTGTAGACTAAAGACACAGCAAAAAATTTAAACCTATTACGAAGTAATTTGTGTGCCTTAACTCTCTGGGAAATTATAATTATCAGAGAAGTAATAGATCCATGCTTCAACTGCTTCTGGCCTTCTAACAGAGGAAAAAAGGGGTACTAAATTTGAGAGGCAGGGTAAAATTCAACAGGTGATCTCAAACCAGGTATGTTTGGACCCTGTGTTGGGTTTATGACAAGATTCACTATCCCGTAAACTATAGGAGGGCTTGGCTGGGTCTCCTGGATAAGGGTCAGTGAGGGTGTGGCTGGCTCTGGAGTCCTTGTTCTTTCTAGTCAACCCGTCCATGCCTGCCCTCCTGTGGTTGAGTCTGTTGTTGCCCCTGAGGGCTCTTTTCCTCTTCAGAGAGGACTTGGTAGCGGCATCCTTACCTCATACTAACCTCAGCTCATTCATTTGCTTGCTCAGCTTTTAATCTGTGCCCCTTGGGGGTTTTCCATAGTTGCTCATTGAGGACAGGCGACCTCAGGCATGTTATACATGTTGGCTTTTGAACGGCAAACCGCAGCCCAGAATTGACCGTGGATGGCAAGCACCTCCCGTCAGTGGGGCTGAGGAAGGGTGCTCAATCCTTGGCTGCTACTGCCACCTCCTGTCCAGAAAGGCTCACCTTGAACTGTCCTACACAATCGGCTTTGAATTCAAGTGTCCTTGGCCAGGCTCAAAGGGTTTCAGCTGAGAAGAATATTCTCCGTTTAGTAGAGGTTCCCTACCCAATCTGGGAAGTCACTGTGAGAAGAGCGTGAGCTGGACTGAGGCAGTGGCATTACTGTTTGTAGGAGGAGGGGCCTGCAACAGGAGGTCACAACTAAGTCGTAAGTTACATGGCCAGAGAAGGGAAAGGCGAGCATGCCGTGTGTCCGCTCTGAGTATGTGTAACAAGAGCAACCATTTCCACTCTGAGAGAAGTTATCAGAGAAAGTCAGATCTTTTCCTCACTTCAGGATGAGTCATAGGAGGAGCTTTGGATATACCTTGGCAAAAACAGTTCAATGCTGTCCATAGAGGGGAACCACCTCACACGAGGCTCACACACCGGAAGGCCGTGGCCGACAAAGAAGGCAGAATCTCTCCCAGCTAGTGCTTTTATTTCTGAGAGGATAAGTGTGGAACCATCTTGACGATATATCAAACGAGGATCTGCAGGGGAACACTCAAGCCACCCTCTGCTCTCACGTCTCCCAGGTCACAAGACTGGATTGGGGACTGGGACACTGCCACTTGGTGCTGACGAGCCACAGCGGGTGGCTATGTTCTACCTCTTCCACCATCGAACCCCCTCTGTGTTTGGTGACATCTTCTCAGAACCGTAAAAGGCTTTTCTTATGAACCCATTTTCCTCTCAAGATAGCGCATGACGCTAAATTTAATTTTGTTTCACTCTGTGTTAAGGGTGTGGGGGGGAAGTACACAGAAAATAATGAGCCACAAGTCCGAATGGCCTCCAGGGGAATTCCGGAGATAAGTCTAGAGAAAAACAGTGACTCACGGAGAAGTTACAGAATACAAATCACCTGACTGCTTGTCAGGGCCTGTGGAAAGCCCCTCTTCTGGTCATCTGGGTGTAGCCACTCTCTCCCTATGAAGGAGGTATTATCAGCCTCTTAGCAGCTGAGGAAACCGAGGCTCAGGGCCAGAAATTCATCCCTCCAGAGCAGTGGTTCTCAGCCTCCCTAAGGCCGAGATCCTTTGCATACACATCTCTCAACATTGTGGAGACCCCAGCCATAGAACTGTTTTACTGTTTTTGTTGCTACCCGGTGAGTGTAATCTTGCAACTGTCATGCGTGGGAATGTATATATCGGTGTTTTCTAAGGCCTCAGGCAACTCCTGTGAAAGGGTCATTTGACTCCAAGGGGTTGTGACCCACAGGTCAAGAACTGCTCCTCTAGGTCCTTAGGACTCCCACAATAATTTGCATTCATTTGCATCTGCACTATAATACCTGGCAGAGGCACAGAACTAACAATATTCAACACGAGGCTTCACGTGCAGGCTGCTTTCAAGCACTTTCGAAGTTAGCCCACTTTCGCCTCAGAGAGGAAGGCAGGATCTGCGGCAAGCATCTTCCAGAAGAGGGCAGAGAGAACTGAGGTTTGAAGTAAGAGTCTGCCTCTGAAGCCAATGCAAAGGCATGAAATAGATGAATCCAGATTTGTGAGCTGTAACCGGCCAGTGAGCCTTGTCAACATCTGTTTCTTCCATCATGGGGACAAGGGATGGAGAAATGCGAAGTAACCCCAGCACCAGAATGGGTTCTCTCTTTATCCCGTGGTCCTGGGCAAACCCTTCAGATGCAAGTTCTGTCTTATTCCTACTGGTGCCAAGTCGACCACAAATGGCTAATGTCTTTGGATGCTCCAGAGAATGAACAGGACAAGGTGGAAATCAGGACCTGCGCAGTAACACTGAAGGAAGGAATCCAGTGTTCTCTAGACAGAGCTACACACCCCAGAGCTGGAGGGTGGGGGCTGGACCAGGCTTCAGGGTTGGATTCTGAGTGACCTGCAACTCTTTGTGTTCTTAACTCAAATCCATGCATTTTACCCTCAATTTGGGGTGGCCAGGAATCTCTGTGGGGCTAGAAGTCTGGCAAATTCCTGCTTCATGCTGGAGATAGAAGAGGTGATATGATATGACTTTAATGACTCTGTCTTGTATTCTCCATGGATGGATATATCCAGACCTTATATTATTTTAGTTAAGTGAACGGATATTTAATAAACTATGGGTCTGATAAAAAAAAGTTGCCCACTGAAGAATGCAAGCATCCTGTGGAATATGTATTCGTCATAACTTGGCAGTTCAGGAATTAAAAATTCTTATGGTAAGAAAATAGTTTGGATTTTGTGAAAGCTCGTGATTTTGGAAAAAAAAATACTGCCTTGTTTTCCTCATATAAGAAGAGCCTGTAGAGTTTTGGTAGATTTTATTTGGTCAGGAAGGAAAACACTCACACCAAATGCCTTCAATTCCATAGGAAACTTGCGACCAACAGTCCCTTTATTTAAAAATGACAGAGCGCAGCTTCCAAGAATGGGGCCACTCTTGTTCATGTGGCAATCAACAAACATCAGCTTTTCAATTGATGGCCTGCTGGTATAATTGCTCAGTACGAGAATGCTCTCTATTGTATCTGGACCCAGTTAAACAGTGCTACTGGCAAGCCCTTCCAGAGTTTCATTTCCATCAGGGCTGCCCAAATGTATTTGTCTCCCACTTGTCATTCTGCGACAGAGTGCCATAGAGACGGCATAGGTTCAAGGCCATTGCAAAGGGCTTGCTGACAATCTTCCTCTTGATTACTCATATAAAAACTAGGCTCCACAAATAATCTCTTATCCCGGACCACTGGAAAGCTCTTTATACATAATTTACGTAAGTGATGATGCGTGATAGCTCCAGGTACGTTATTCAGTATCATCTTCTATCTTCTGTGTTCATAACTGAGCGGGACAAGTTCCTCCAGCTTCCTTGACATACGCTCCATGTTTGGTGACATGTACCTGAGCCACCCATGTTTAGTGGCATGAACCTGAATCACCAGATAGCATCTGTGCTTCAAACGATGCTGAATTCCTTAAATCCTTAGTTAAGTTGACTGTGCCCCTTGTTTGCAGATCTGACCATCTGCTTGACTTGGAAATGCTCACGGCAAATGAGACGTTCTTGCTTCTCATACTGGAGATTCCCAAACATGAGGGATTGGGACTGGCTTGTGTGTTGGCTGCTTATAGAGACTAACGCTGGAAGGAGAAATCAGGTATTTGGAGGCATGGGATAAAATGGACTCTTGCTCAAAGGAGGCCACTCAGAAGTTCTATGTGTAGGTGTTTTATTTTTAAAGAGAGTAGAATGAATTTTACTAAGTTCAACCTTTAGAATTTAGTTTTCTCGTTCATGGGGGTTGTATAAGTTAATTGAGGCCTCCAAGCAGACAGACAGCAACCAATCTGTTCTGGTATTCAATAAATTAGTTCTCCTGGATACCCATCGTTCTTTTACCCGGTGCCCTCTGTATCAGGTGCCAAGTGCCTTAGCGACACTGTTACAATGCCTATCCTTGGAAATGTGGCTTAATTTCTACTTCATGGGGAAAATGGACGAGAGGCTGATTTAGAAAACATGACTCAGCATAGCACGGTTCGTGAGAATGCATGGTTTAAACAACGTTTACACAAGCTCGTTGGAAATTCTCTCAGGGGGCACCCTTCTTTGTAAAACAGCAGCTGTTGAGAGGGTTGCTCTCCCACTCCAGCCTTTAGTGGGATCACAGGAAGGGTTTCTTAGCTAGATTGCTCGGCCTCACCTAAAGGTTCACCGTGAAAGGGGGTGGGAGCCGAGAAATCGCGTTTCTATTGCTTCTCAGGTAATTCTGTTCTCAGTGCTGGGCCACTACATTTTTCAGACTCTCTGCCCTGAGAAGTTAGTATATTTCCCAATCTCTCCCATCTCCTCCTTCCTCTCCTCTCTTATTCCTTTCCTTTCTCACCTCTTGTATCCCTCTGTCTCTTCATCCCTCCCTCCCTTCCTACCATAACAAAACCCATTAAGATATTTTAGGGTTGGATTTTGCACCTTCTCCCATCTGTATGTTGAAACTTTAACCTCTAACACTCTAGAATGTGACTATTTTTGGAGATGGAGTCTCTAAAGATGTGACTAGTTAAAACGAAGGCAATAGATGGGCTTCATCCAATCAGTTTAAGGCTTTAAGGTTAACTTCTGTCCTGCTAGCAGACTGCCTTCCAGCTGAACCTGGACTCTCTCTGGGTCTCCAATGGTGCTGAGAGTGCTCTGTAAATTTTGGGCTTGCCAGCCACCATAGCTAAAAGGTCCAACTCCTTAAGGTAAATTCTGCCCTCTATACTCTCTCTCTTTTGACAAAGCATTCTGTTGGTTTGGTTTCTTTGGAGACTCCCAGCTCATAAATATTTAAGTTCAGGTCTTGGTTGAAGTATTAAGTTTTCTGATGTCCACCCTCCTTCCTGAAAATAAAAGTATTGGGAAAAGTAGCCCCAAAATGCTATCTTTTCTCCTACAAACATTATTTAGTGACTTCATAACTGTGCCTTCAAATATGTTGGCTATTTGTGGCATGTGAGGACTGCACGCTCTCCTCGAGAACAGCCGACAGGCTCTGTGTCACTGGGGCTATGCCTTAAATTGATTTTATTTTTAAAGTCGGGCTGTTTGTCCGTTTGTGTCTCAAGTATGCAGCTGTTGATCCAGAGTGGGGGGTTTAACTAGAGCATTAATTCAGATCCCTAACTTCCTGGGAGTCACGTGGCTTTTACCGGGTGTGTTCTGACGACTCGAGCTCTTTCCAGATGTCAGTCTGGATGGCTATGGTGTCTTGCTGTCTTCATTTTGACTCTCCCGAAGCCCTCCCTCACAAGCCAGGATTTAAGGAGCTTTCCCAGAGATCTCTACGTCAAACCAGCTGCAGGGGAGTTGCCGGCTTTACAGAGCTTTGCTGCGGCATTTTCCTGGCCTCTGGTGTTGTTGTGATTGAACTTAGGGGGTTGCTTAAATTTGCACCACAGAGGAAACACCTGTGGGAGTTTCGTTCTTGCGTTCTTTGGGTGTCTGTCTTTGAGGGCGCGTTTTTCTGGTGCACCGAAGAACCGAAATCAGACCTCCTCAGAATCAATCAATTCTCCATATCTATTCTGAAAAAGTTTTTTTTTTTTAAATCAGTTTCGCAACTCAGATTTTTTTTTTTCTTCTTGTAGTTCAAAGCTTGAACTTGAGTAGAGATGGGGAAGATGGAGCATGTTTACGCGGCAGCACCTGCTGACCGAGTTGGTTACAGCAGCTGTAGAAAGTAGCCGGGACTTCGGCAAGATGTCCTGGGAGGGTTCTGCGTCCATTGATGGAAAGGTGTAGGAGAAACTGTTGCCCTCGATTGTGAGTGGGTGCAGTCTTGACTGACTCAGCTCTGCTGGCAGAAGGTTGGAGGAAGGTTTGAGGCTCTAACAGTGCTGGAGTAGGCTATGGCCTGTCCCACCAACACAGCCAGGGAGAGATGCCTTTGTAATGTCCTTCTGCCTAAGAAGTTCCGTCATAAACATTCGCTTTTTAAATGGCTTTCTTTCATATGGAAATCACCTATTGGCAAGGTAACTGGTAATGAGCTACTGACCAACAAAAGGATTTGAGAAGATATTTACTCAAGAGTAGAAGAGGTAAACCTCAGCTTTACTATTGCTGCTATGGAGGGGGGCGCACATTACTAACTTCAGGAATGCTGAGCATGATGGGAACATTATGCCCCATTCTCACTTGGTATATATGGAAGTGCACTCACCTAATACACACACACACACACACACACACACACACACATTCTAATATATATATCCAATTTGGTCACCAGTATTCTATTGGCTTAACGATATAGTGTATTCAAGGCTACATTGATAGACAGTCCCCAGATGACGTAGTACCTCAGTGACATGTGTCTAGCTGCAAGGAGAATCACCTTTTATATCCATGGGGGATTGGTTCCATGGCTATCCTCACTGGTAAATATCTATAGATGTTCAGATTCTCTATATAATATGCTCTGATATTTGCATACAATCTGTGCGATCCTCTTGGATAACTTATGCCATTCCTAGACAACTTTTGACACCAACCCCAATATAAACTATATATGTAAACAGCTTAGGGGAAAATGGCAAGAAAACTGCTTTCATTGCTTATCATACAGATGCAAAATTTCCTTGCTTGCAAGCGTTCGTCTGGAGATGCAGGATGCATGCTTCAAAAGCGCTGACCCTGTCCAGTCTCCACGTCTAGCCAGGACTGACTATTTGAGTCTAAAAGTTATTGTGGTTATCATTTAATGGGATGAATGAAAAGATAAGTTTTTTTTTTGCCTTGATTATTTCAAGTTTATACATGGATCTCATGGGAATCAAATGTACTACAGACACCCTAGGGAACATGGCACTTGCATAAGACAGCAGTTGGCTTGGAAGTGAACAGTCAGGCTTGCCTCTCAGCGATGTCCCTGGCTGTCAAGTGGCTGTCAGAAGCTGTGTCGTTTCAGCTACTGTGTTCTGTTTGACGACAAGGTTACCTGGAACTAAGGCTGTTTGGCCAGAAGTGACTGTTATTCCTTTGCGATGCCTTTAAGAGCTAACCACGCCCACTTCCAGCCACTTCTGACCTCGTTGCCATCTTGGCTTCCCTTTCCTGTCTGTCTCTTGCTGTGTGCTCATGTGCTTTCTGTCTCTCTCTATGTTTGTCTATGTCTCCCTTTCTTTAAGTAATAAATGTCTAGCTTTATGTATAGGCTTATGTCCATTTACTCCGCCTGTCCACCACATCCAGCTGCCTGACTCTGCCGCTCGCCCGGGGACCCTGCACTGCTTTGGCGGCGGCAGCCTCTGCCTGGCTCGCATGCCGCCCGGGGCATCCCAACATCATATATTTTTAAAAGAACAATAGTGACTAGAATGGCCACAGATTCTGTAGCTCTGATTTCAGGAACTCTACTTTCTTGCAAAGAGTCATAATCCCTGCTTCTTTTCTGAAAAATGGAAAACTATCTAATATGTTTATCCTCAAACTTTGTGTGTGGTTTGTATAAAAATGGCCCCCACAGACCCATAGGGAAGGGCACTAGTAGGAGGTGTAGGTGTGGCTTTGTTGGAGAAAGTGTGTCACTGGGGGTTGAGGGTTGGTTTTGACGTTCCAGAAGCCCAAGCCAAGTCTAGTGGGTCAGTGTCTCTTCCTTCTGTCTGCTGATCCTGATGTAGAACCTTGAGCCGCCTCTCTAGCAGCAAGTTTGCCTGCATGCCACTATGCGTCCTGCCCTGATAATAAGGACCAAATCCTCTGAACTGTAAGCCATCCTCAGTTAAATAATTTTCTTTGTAAGAGTTGCCAAGCTCATGGTGTCTCTTCACAGCAATAGTAGAAACCCTAACTCACTCACTCTGGATTTGTAAAGCATGTCTTGGAGTATGCATAGGATGTTATGTCGCCTACTTTCTTTCCTGGTACGGAATGAACTAGGAAAGGTATAGAATTATGAACATAGTTCCTAGTTAAGGGCAATGTTGTTTTTTAAAAAATATTTATTATTTATTATGTATACAACATTATGTCTATGTGTATGCCTGCAGGCCAGAAGAGGGCACCAGACCTCACTACAGATGGTTGTGAGCCACCATGTGGTTGCTGGGAATTGAACTTAGGACCTTTGGAAGAGCAGGCAATGCTCTTAACCTCTGAGCCATCTCTCCAGCCCGGCAATGTAGTTTTTATATGTTCTTTTGGCAATCTATCTGAACACTTTGGACTAAAACTTAGTATAACTTCTAAATAACAAAAATATAACTTCTGATTCTTTAACTTTCTCTTTTATCACAATGTTTTCTTTGAGATTGTCTGCTGAAGACAATGACTGAAAAATTTTTTAAAAAGCAAGAGAAAAATTCAGATTGCCACAATTTGGTACAACGTCATACGATTATCCACATTTAAGAATAAAGTGTACCAAAACCTTGAAGACTTGAGCAAGGAAGAGATAAATATACTTCCTCATCATCCCTGCCCTGTTCCATTCCCCCCAGAAAAGAGACGACACTGAAATAATAGAATTCTAAGGCTCCAAGGCTTCAAAGGAAAACAAACACGGTAATGCTGGACCGTGTACTGATGTCAACATTGGCTAATTAAGCAGGGAGGCAAAGATGGCGTCTGGAGATTACATGCCGGCCTCTGATCTATGGGACTGGCTATTTGCAT